GTGTAGTATATATCGGATAATAAAATTTTCTTGGCAAAAGTGATCTGCATTCCAAATAGAAACGGACACAATCACATCAGGGTGTCACATAAAATTCTTGATCGGAGCTAATATTTCTAGCCAATCTATCAGATTGGTGTCATAAAACTGGCGCGTGAATTTATTTTTTAAATTATTTGAATTCTCTTCCCCAAATACACAGAATTCTTTAATTCTCAGAATTTTTTATTATCTATAAGAAATAACTAGCATATTAATACCATTTTTTCACATATATTATTTGAAGCAATTGAAGCAACTTAACCAGCTTTCTTGATCTATCAAAATAGATATTTGGCAATGACTTACATCTCGAAAACATCTATTATTGCTAGAACAGGCAAGTAGTATTCACTCTGAAGTGAAAGATTTATTAAATAAAGCAGTTGAAAATTATATTAAGAAAAAAAAGCATCAGAAGATGAAGCCTATTATTAGTAACTGTAAAATTTCGTTAAGGTAAGAAAATGAGGAGTTATATATATCAAAGCAGGTATTGTGAAAAAAGATCAAAGAGCTTCTTGATTTGCAAGAGTAGTATAAGTCTTGTGAGGTAGCTATGATCAGGTGTTTAGAAGAGAGTGGTAGGAAAATCACCAAATTATCAAATTCAGTATCCTTTTTAAAAAGTATAATTCCTGATATGAAAAAAGCCATTACATCAGCTGAAAAATATATTGACATGCTAGAGGACAAATGTCAATATCTGGAGGATATTATTTCCACTAAAGATAGAAAAATTATTGCTCTGATTGATCAGATCTCTTTTTACACAAAATATAACGATATAACTATAGAACTGGAAATATATTCCAGCACTTATGAAAGGAATTTATGGGCGAAGAGGAGTAGTGAATCTGAACATATTCAGAAGCCCAGAAAAAATATACATTTTGTCTCACTTCATCAATTCTTTTGAAGGAACGCTAAGCTGAAAGAATTTTTACTCACTAGCTTAGACATTTTTTTTCAAAAATTTGATCCCATCCAGCTTGTATCCTGTGAAGATGCTCACAAGATACAGTTAAATCAAAAACAATAAATTTTTGCTCACATAAATGCTTGGTTAGTTATTGGCATTTAGATGCACACGAATCAGCTTGTTATGTTATAGTTTTAATATTTAATAACTTAGTCATTGCTTAGTCCTTAAAATAGTAACATATCATGTGACAATGGTATAAAAATAGTTTATCGTGGATGCGAGATTACTGCTCTCAAAAAATTAAATAATTGAGTATGAATTTACACCTTCTCTATAAAGCGATCAGGGATTATTTTGATGAAATGCCAGTTGAAAAATAGGTGTATCTTCACTTTTTAAAATCTTTTGAGCCTGTTATTATGTCAACTATAGATACTGCAAAAGATACGGACAAAGGAACATGGAGGAAGAGATTCATTACACGCTTAGAAAAGATTGTGAATGATGATACATATAGTGAATAATAAAGAAATACTGCAATTCACTTGAAAGGGAAGGTATTTTAGTTCGAATATTTATCTTTTTCTTATAGTCTGTTATGACAGTTTTGCACAGCCAAAGGAGTGTTTCATTCCTGCTTTAAAGTGATAGTGGTTTTGTCTCATCGTGTAATTTCTGTTGGTGTAATACAGCCAAAGAAGGGTTTCATTCCTGCCTGAGGTGATGGTGGTTTCATCCCATCGTATGTCACCTGATTGTAAGCTTCTTAAAATATGGGAATTCTGCACAGCTACTTACCATTTATCATATTTTTTTAAAAACTTATTATGTGTAGATAATTTCTGGAATGAAATTGAAGAAAAAAAATGAATTTACGTAAAAAACGAAGGTGGTGAATATGACGGTAAGTCTATTCTACTGCATATAAAATTATATTAAATATCCTAACTAGTGTACTCATCAACTCTAGAATTCAGTCATCAACAATATAGAAATAGATGCCTTAGAAATCATAGAAACTGCACACACAGAGAAAAAGAAAATGATTTTGAGTTTACTGAAGTGGAAACCCGAAAATGTAGTAAATGTAGGAAAACGTCACAAATTGCATAAGTATAAAAATATAGTACAAACATTTATTTTACATTAGTTTATTGAGCTCATTGCTTCTTTATAATAGTAAAAAAAATTGAATACAATGAATCTGATGATCCAGAAGAGAGCGACGAAGAAGTAATTGACATAACACAAGATGAAGAAGCCAGAAACCTTATGGGGGTATCTCAGCATTTATTACCTCTATGTATAATAACTGTGTTCACTCTACTTTAACAATTTTCTAGGATGAAGTGTATATCCGTAACAAATTACTAGATGTCTTGGTTGCGAACAAAGACAAGACAAACAATCTGGAAAAATTTTTATGTCTTCAGTACCCCTCAATAACATTATAGATATTACCGATAAAGAGACATACAAGGCAATTAAAAGCATTTTGAATGATGACCAACTCGAATGGTTCAAAGGAGTTATTCAAAAAAGGATTTGGGATAGACTGACGAATTCAAGTATTTTGTCAACCAATTTACCAAAGACAAATATAATAGAGTTCATATTCTAACTCTCGTCTGTAAGACTTATATTTCCAGTAGATTTGACATGAAGCTCACAAAATAACTCAAAATATAATGATATATTGGTACTTATTCTTTGCATTACTTACTTTATATGAATAGTTCCGTTCGCTTAAAAGTGCCTGTTACTCACGAATCTGATTTCTTTCATCTTGAGCAAATATACTCAATCGACACTGTGGTTTACATCAATAGACTTTTCGAATACACAATAATGTGCTAAATTGTGCAGGCAAGTGTTATTATGATTTTAAAGTATTGACTATTGTATCTGCTAATAATTCTAATCTGCTTAGGATCAAACTGATGACTCCCAACACGAAGAGTCATAAAATTGATGAATTTTTAAAGCAATCAAGACAAAAATATAGAATAAAGCTTTAATAATAATTGAATATTCAAAAGGTCTAAAGACGCCTGAGCAAAAAAAAATATGATGATTATGTTAAATTGTGTAAGAACTCGATGCGACTATTAAACAAAGTACTAGAAAATATGCCAAAAAATTATGCACGAATATATCTTGTGCAATATATTGTATGTGTTTTGGATAATAGTAAAATGCATGTTTTATATATATGTATTTATATAATTTTTTTCATAGGCGATTACAAAAATATCAAATACCCGGTCCATTCTCTTCTATCAGTCTATTTACTTAATTAGTTCTTACGCATAAAAATACCTAAAACCTTCAATGATTTTGAAGATTTCTCAAAAGGAATAATTGATCTTATGAATTAGCAGGTATGAGCTTAAAGAAGTATATCTCTTTATCAGATATTTATAATAACTGCTCTTGTTATTTCAGACCGATGTCCTGTTAACAGTTAAGAAGATTAATAAGGTTTTCAAAACTAAAAATGATGAAATTCACATAACTCCGATATAAGATACACCACAAAAGGACAAGACAAAAAGTAAAACAAAAAAAGTAACTAATGATAATAATAATAATGATAATTTCTCACCCTCACCATGTCTAGGCTCTCACTCGTCGTGTTCTGAATTACCATTTGACCCTGTTGTGAGATGATAACTTAAATGCAAATAAACTAATATTAAAACAAGACACATTAAATCAAATGGCTTTAATCTCTGTCCCATATCATTCAGATCAAAAGAGGAGTGATAGTTGTTTATTTACAATCAGTTATTTTTATATCTGCTATTTGCTTTAGTGCTCTATAGAAAATCAAATCAATTTATGTTTAACGTTAATTGAAATAAACATGTACTGTATGTATAAAAAATAAAATAATAAAAACTACATATACTATTTTTTAAATTTTTTGTCAAAAATGGATCAGCATTCTTTATTGAATTCGCACACAATTTTTTTATATATATTTGATATGTAATATGAGCATATATGCAAAAAAGCAGGATCAAACCCTATCCATTCACATTTAAGGGTATGTCCTAACCTAATCTAATTGCAAGAAGTAGGGTTCTGCAATTCAATTTGATATTTGAATATTTGATTTGATCAAATTCAAATCAAAGAATGATTTATTTGATCAAATCTAAATCAATGTTTGATTCGATTCGATCAAATTCAAATCAAGTATTCAAATATTTGATTTGATTCGAATCAATAGTAAAGCCATCTCCAAAGCTTCAGAAGCGATTCTTACAAAGAAAGCTATAGTAAAAAGTGCCTCTACGGCTTCGAAATGCCTTTTTACTAAGAAAAACATAGTAAAAAGCGTCTCCACAGCTTTGGAAATACTTTTTTACTAAGAAAAATATAGTAATAAATGCCTTTACAGCTTTCAGAGATATTATTTTACTAAGAAAACATAGTAAAAAAACGCCTTCACGGCTTCAGAAATGTTATTTTACTAAGAAAACATAGTAAAAACGCCTTCACAGCTTTGGAAACGTTTTTTTTACTAAGAAACCTAGTAAAAAAATGCCTCTGCAGCTTCAAAAATGTTTTTTTACTAAGAAACCTAGTAAAAAATGCCTTCGCAGCTTCAGAAACATTTTTTTAATAATAAAATAGTTACAAACTGAAGCTGCAATGGCAGTTATTACTAAGTTTTCTTAGTAAATCAAAGTCGCGATCGTGGTTATTACTAAATTTTTTTAGTAAAATTGAGACTGCAGAGTTATTTTACTAAGTTTAATAGTAAAAATTCACCTGTTAATAAACTTACTTGTAAAAGCTATTTTTTTTTTTTTTTAAGATGCTGCGACTTCAACTGGTACCTTTGCATTTAAACTTAGCTACTGAAGTATACCAGATACCATTAATGGTGACGTGCCAGCCACACAATCTCAGATATTTCCTTATTTTTTAAGTTATCCACCATGTTGAGCGCATCCCCCTCGATGTTTTCATCTAAGTATAACATCCTAATTGGGCAACTTAAACCGCTTGTTTGATCTGAATTAGGTATTTAGCATCAAAGGTACTGTCAAATTTGGATAGAGGGATACTCTTAGTCATAGCGAACGTCATCACTAAATTTACCAACGGTCTAGTGAACTATAGCCAGGCTCCAATTACTTGGTTTGGCTTTATTATTACTATATAGAGAGCCGTATGGTTCATGGGATAGTACCACAAGATTTGCCTAAACGGTGATCTCCAGTTGTACATATAGACTACATCAACCAGCTGACTTTAATACCCATAACGTCAAACAACTCAGGAATCGAACCTAACCTCTAACCCTAGTGACAGCTCGATTAGATAGTGCTGCGGGCGTGCAATGCAGTTTATTATCACCGCTGATTTAATCTACTAAGTTCTGGTTAATCACTTCCTTAATTTATATACAATCTTATGATCATATACGGAAATAAAGACCCCTGCCGTGTGAGATGTAAGACTGTATCCATTACAGACCAATCAGCAAAGGCCAAGTTTCTGTTGATCCCTGGCTTCATTTGCATCTACTTGTTCTAACGCTATGCAGTATTTAGGCATGATCAATATTAATCGACAGATTAATCAACCAGATTTGTATATATGTTAGTACATACGCCCATCATATTCAGTACATATGAAATTCTTGTGAAAATCATCTAATTTTATATATCAGCCGATACCTGAACTAATGGCCTATTGCTGTGTAATAAAACTTTAGCTTAATAGAAGACTCACGGTTTAACCACTGAGCCAGGAACACTGATCCCTGTAAAAGCTATTTTTGAAATTTTTTAGTGCAATTACTAATAATTTTCTTAATTAAACCTTTATAATAACTTTATTTTAATATATCATTGTAAAAATTAAAAAAAGTTTTATATTCGATTCAATTCAATTCGATTCGATCAAATATTTGATTTGATTTGATTTGATTTGACAAATATTTGAGTTTAATTCAATTTAATTCAATTCAATTTGAAAAAAATCAAATCAAATTCAAATTGCTTAAATATTTGATTTGATTCGATTTTGAGGAACCCTAGTGAGAGGATCATCAGTTGCCTTAGTAAAATCAAAGACCATATAATCCTGATCTCGCAAATGTTTGTCAATAATCTTAGATGCTTTTTTTGGATAATCCGTATATTGACGCACAATTTTGCAAATATCTTCATGACTCCTTGAGCCTCAAAATAAAGCTAAGTGTGAAATATTCTCACAAATAATTTTAGGGGTTTGTGTGTACTTCTGACTCACATATATACTTAATACACCTGATGTCAGCCACTAATAAAATATGGAACAATCCAATCCTGAATTTTTTTTAATTTAGCACAAAGATCCTCGATGACTACAACTGTATTTCTATCTGAAGAAAATTTAGTTATGTCTGAAATTGCATTCACTTTTAATGCACAAAATGTTATATTCTCCCGATATGGTTTTGGATACTTTGCAAAAATTTCATAGCAGTTTTTCACCGATATCTATTTGGGCTCATAGATATGCTTCCCGATTAAAACTAGATTGTATATCGCTCTCCTTTCTTCTCCTTGTATAAACATTAGATTTTATTACCAAAAAGAAGATTGAGAATTATATTAGTTTTTCTACTATCTGATCCATTGCAAATT